AGGCGGGGGGGACGGGGCGGGGGCGAAGGGGGAAGGGGGCGCCCGGCGGAACGGAGCGTCCTGTCCGCGGCTGAGTCAGCGGCGTCGGTGGGAAGGCGGGCAGCGTTCTCGGGCCGCGTGAGTAACCTGCAAATCAATATCCTCCCCGCGGCCTTGGGGAGAGACGAATGGTTATGGAGCAAACGCACTTCTGTTCTAAGGAGAACAGAGGGGAGCCAAGGCCAGCCATCCATCCGCCCGAAACGCCACGTTAGGAAGACTCCCTCGGCGCGGGCCGCTCTCCTGCCGGAAAACCTGGCGCGCAGATGGACGCCCGGGCGGGGCTGTGCCACAGCGATGGCGCTCGTGCCCTGAAAACGCCTTTAATGGAAACACAAAACACAAACACGTGCGGGTGAGTGGACAGGTCTCCACGGACTGAGCCCGCGCGGGATCAGCGCCGGACGGGACGGAGAGCCTCGTCCCCGCAGCCGCGCGCCCCGCTCGGCCGGGCGAGCAGCGTCCGGTCCCCCGCCCCCATGGGCACCTCCTGCAAATGCCGCGCTCCCCGCCCCCATGGGCACCCCCTGCAAATGCCGCGCTCCCCGCCCCCATGGGCACCTCCTGCAAATGCCCCGCTCGGCGCCTGCTCTCCGGGCCTGGTTCCCTTCACTCAGCCGCGCCCGAGCTCCCCGCACTCCCTGCCGCCCACCGCACCGCCCACCGCGCACCGCACGGAGCTGCTCGCAGGCCCCCGCCCGGGTGCGGTGCGGGGGCTGCACCGCCTGCTGCTCCCTCCTCCGCTTCCCTCCGCAGAGCGGCTGTTCCAGAGCCCCGCTGCCCCTTGACTGTCAACACTGGGCCTCCCACCCCGGCCTTTCTCCAAGCTTCCCCTGCGTCAGGCTCCATTCCTCACAAAGGTCAAGGCCACGGTCCGCATGGCGCCCGCGGCTCTGAGGCCCAGCCCCGGATCTGGGCGCTGGGGAGGCCTTGCTTCTCCCAGGCCCGGGGACCGGGTTTCTGGCCCCGCGTGGGGCGCAGAGCGGGCGCTGCCCACAGGGCCTTCCCACCGCCGGCCCAGGAGCTCCCGCTTCTTCCCGGTTATTCACAGAAGCAGTGCGGGCCACGCTTGGCGCGGGGGCCCGGCCGGCAGGGGATGCTGCTGAGCTTCCCGGTCTCTGCCGCCCACTTTCCTAAAACCGGAGCGTGATTCCCTTCGCCCTTTGAGAAGAAGGAAGCCTGAGTGCTATCCCGCCTCCTCCAGCCTCAACACTTCAGCGGGCAGCTCGCCCAGGGCCCGCTCCGGCCTCCCCTCGCTGCGCACAGGCCGGCAGGCCCCGGGCACCCGGGAGGCACCGCAGCGGAAGCCTGTGCCCCAGGCCTCTCGCACCCTGAACCTAACCTCTCTACGGCACTGCTCCCCCCCGCCCCCCTTTTCTGGTTTGCTGGTGGTTGAACGAAGGCAAAGGCAACTCAAGTTAGAGCCAGTGAGTCATCCTCTTCCCTGTCCTCACAGCCAACAGGCTGAACGGGCCGCTGTGGCCGGAAGAGGAGACCCATTCTAATGCCAAGTTATCACTTTCTGCTGTGACTTTCAGCAAGTTGTTAACCTCTCTGGAGATTATTTCTGCCAGTAAAATAACTATTTTTATCACATATTTTTCTCTTCGACTTGATAAAGTCTGTAGGTGCTCAGAACCTACTTTGGGTTCCCTTCGTGTTCATTTGACACAGCAATGCCGCTCAGGTGTGGTGTTGGTCCTGTGGGACCTGTGCCAGGAGGGCCCTCGGACAAGTGCAGGGACTTTGGTACAGGTTCGGAAACACAGGGTCACCGGAGAATGCCATGCACGGATCCATTCATTTGAGAACGACTTAGAACCCTCAGCTGTGTCCCTGGGCAAGGCTGTCCGATCAGTAGTTGGAAAGGACCCCTGTCCTGGAGTTTCTCCTCCTCTCTTCCAGTGGAGCTCCACAGACTGGCGGTGTACCTTCGTAGTGACTCGATGGCGGGTCCAAGCATAGTCTGCGCTGGCAGTCCATGTAGACTTAGACATGGCAGCACTTTGCTCTGAGAGCGCTGCTCGGGCGCTGAGCCCAGCTGCTGTGTCCACCTTCTCTGAGCTTGGCCCTGGTCCAGAGACCAGCCGGGGAGGGCCAGGCGGCTGTGAGAGGGACTGGAGGGGTCAACAGTGACCCCTCTGTGGGGCCATGTGACCGAGGCTTATGTCCAAATCATCAAGCGTTGACTCCTGGGTGTTTCCTGGGCACAAGTGGGAGGTGATAACAATGTTGGGGAGTAAACGCAGCCCTTTCTCCAGGCCACTGGGTGAGGGTAGGGGTGGGGGAGGGGGGAGCTGATTAGAAGCGACCCTGCCCTAGTACCTCTCACCTGTGTGGCGGTAACCGGTGCAGCTGCTCCCTTTCCTTGCTCTGCTGGGAGGTGCTAGCTCAGCTCTGGACGGCACAACCGAGGGCCTGACTATACATTCTCCTCCCCAGGAATAGCCTTTAAACACATCACAGGTCCCAGGGCCAAGGCCCCATTCCTGGCCAAGCCCTGAGGCTCACCTCTCCCTCCTGCCCACCCAAGACAGGGGCTGTGGGAGATTGTAGGGAGGGGCCAGCCTCAGGTGGCTCAGGATCGAGGCGGGCTGGGTGCTCGGTCAGGCAGATCCAGACACATTCCAACGGAGCTTTGTTGATTTGCTCATCATATGTGTACGGAGCAGACAAATAATTCAAGTCCCTGCCTTCGTGGCCTTCACCCTTCCAGCTGAGGGAGATGAGCCACGGAGGAGCCACAGGTGTGTTGGGTGGTGAGCAGACAGGAAGTGGCGCCTGGCAGGGCGATGCTGGGGGCGGGCTGATCACTGGTGCTGGGGAAGGCTCACGGACAGGGGGACAGGGCCTGGGAGTGCAGAGCTGCAGAGGCAAGGGTGACAGGTCGGTGACACCTGCTGTGAGGGAGGGGGCAGGAGAGCACGTTGGCAGGGGATGCTTCCTTCAGGTCTGGCCGGAGAGGTGGGGAAGCTTCTGAAAGGTGGGGCCAAGGAGGAGCAAGGCCAGGCCCAGCGGCTAACAGGGAAAGCCTGGGTGTTGAGGGAAGAGGATGTGGGCCCCGCGGGCGGGCTCATGGCATGATGAGCTGAAGGACAGGGTGAACCTGCACACTTGGCTGCAGACTTGGCAACGGGCAGCTTTCATGCAGGGCAGGCAGAGTGGCCTAAAGGAGGACGCATCTCCGGCGAGTCTGCAACCCCCGGAGGGTTTGCAGTAGGCGACTGACTGGCCTTCTTTACAATATGCCGGTTGCTATGTGGGGGGTGAACGGGGGGGTGGGGGTGGAATTGGGAAGATGAGTTCTCAGTGTTCTAGAGAGAATGCATAGGCCAGCGCGGTGGTGGGAATGGCCATTTGCTGGGCAGCTGCTCTGGGCCAGTGCAGTGCTTAGAGTGCGGTATTAGTGCTGATTTTACATGGCACTGTGGCCACGAGGCAAAACGCTGGTCCAATATTCACCCAGTAACAATGCGGTGTGATTCCGCTTAGAGGTCGGCCCCCGCCCCGCCCCCTGCTCCCCCAGCTTCTTTTCCTTTTGCCCACTGCGTTGGTTTTGTTCCCTCTCCAGGGGATCTCCCCACTGCTGACCCTCCTCTAGTTTTATTGTCCTTTTCTTTCTTTTTTGGGGGGGGTATTTAAAAAAAAATAAATATTGTTGTTATTGTCCTTTTCAAAACTGTGATCCGTTATTTACTTCCTGTTTAAAAATCTTCAGCATTTTTAGTGGCCCTAGTATTGCCTGTTTTCAGGGACTCCAAACCCAAAGGTCTTCAGGAATCAGGCATGCTGAAATCAGGGGCCGGGGTGGGGGCCCCAGTGGAGAGTGCATACCCTGGCCAGAGGCTGTCCTTGGAGAGTGCAAGGAGGAAGCCGTGCTGGCCAAGTGGCTGTCTCTGTCATCCTGTCAGGCTCCTGCACCCCTACTTGTAACCCTTAGTGTAAGACCCAATCCTGAGTGTCCACAATCTGGCCTCAGCCTGCCTCCCAGCTTCCTCCCCAGGAACCAGTCACTGTCGATGCCTCTCTGACCTTGGGAGGTGCTCCGTCCCGCCTCCTTGCCTTGTGCACGGTTTCTTACAACTTTTATATGTTCTGCTCCCCAAAAGCAACCAACCTCCGGGGCCCAGGTCCAAGGTCACAGCATTATTCTTGGTGGCAGGTATGCTGGACCACTTCCCTTGCTGCCCTTGGACTGTGATCTCCTCAAGGGCAGAAGCAGAGAGAATGACAGCTAAAGTATAGCCCTGAGCATGAAGTAGGTGATGCTAATCATTAGTTCTCTCCCCATTTTCTTCTCCTTTGGCACCTTGTTTTGTAACTGCTCATTCAGCAATTGCTACATGAATGAATGAATAAATCAATCAAAGAAAAAAAATGGAACCCAACGCAGCCACCACTCTCGTGTCAGTCACTGCTGATGTGGGCAAAGGGAGAAAGACGGCGGGTAAGCAAGCAACTAACCTAAATACAGCATCAGGACCCAGCACAGGCCTGCAGAAGGAGAGGGGGTCCAACTCCTGTCAGAGGCCTGGGCAAGGCGGGAGGCACAGGTGGCATTATCTTTGGAGAAGTGTTTGTTCAGATCCTTTGCCCATTTTTCAATTGGATTGTTTGTTTTTATGTTGTGTTGCACAAGTTCTTTATAAATTTTGGATTTTAACCTCTTATTAGATACTAGAGGCCCGGGGTGGGGGGGTGTCCCTCAGCCCCACTTGTGCCCTCTCACAATCTGGGACCCCTCGGGAGATAACGACGTGCTGGCTTAGGCCCGCTCCCTGGTGGCAGAGGGCAGGCCCAATCCCTAGGTGCAGCCCCTGGTCGGGCTCAGAGCAGGGCTGATGGGGGGTTGGGGCGCCGCCCCCTGTCACACTCAAGGCAGGGTCGATGGGGAGGTTGCCGCGCTACCCCCTGTCACGCACAGAGCAGGGCCCATCAGGGGGGTTGGGGCGCCGCACCCTGTCACACACAGAGCAGGGCCGATCAGGGGGTTGGGGAGCTCCCCCCTATCAGGCACAGAGCAGGGCCGATCAGGGGGTTGGGGAGCTCCCCCCTATCAGGCACACAGCAGGGCCGATCAGGGGGTTGGGGCGCCTTCCCCTGTCACGAACAGAGCAGGGCGGATAGGGAGGTTGTGGCCCCGCCCCCTGTCACAGAGCCGCAGGGCGATCAGGGGGTTTGGGCTCTGCCCCCTGTCACGCTGCTCCAGGGGCCAGGAGGCCTCGCAGCTCCGCTGATCCCGGGTTCGGGAGGCCTCGTGGCTCCGCTGACCCCGGTGCTGGGAGGCATATTACCCTTTTACTCTTATAGGATAGAGGCCTGGTGCATGGGTGGGGGCCTGCTGGTTTGCCCTGA